TGTTGACTTTATTTTACAGCAATAAAACCAAAATAAATTACATTTTATATGATGCCAACATCTTGCGGCATGCGAAAACTTAATATTAATTAAACTACATCAAAAAAAAGACTACAGTTTTTTTATTGGACGAATATGCGAAGATAAAAAAATGTTTATCTTTAAGAATCAAACATATATAAAATACTATTGTCACAGTTCATCAGGAGCAGTATTGCCAATTTAGCACTTTTAGTGCTAGATTTAGCACTTTTTAAACTCGTTTAGCACCTAGCACTTGTTTTAGCATTTTTATTTTTTATTAAATTTTTTCGAGAATTTCTGGTATCACTTCAAAAAAAACTTGTCGTTTTTCGATTTCACTTTGACAAACTGAAATTTCTCTATGTTTTCCACGATGAGTTTGATTTTTTCAACGTTAAATCAGTGAGTGGAGCATAATTATCACTGGTCCCAATGCTCTGCGAAACGATTTCCGGTTTCGGGAAAAAATCGCGACATATACACCTCCTTCTGTGATAAAAATGCTACTAAACAATATCAGAATATGAACATTTAGTATAACTCCAAGTATATAAATCAATAAAATTTATATAAATTTAAAGGCCAACCGCACCTCTTGTATATACTAGCAACTTCTTCCCCTCTAGAAAAATAAATGTTTTGGAATATTTTTTTTCTTCTTCCCACAAAAGTATTGTTCAATTTGTCTCGTTAAATATTGACCGATCATTATCAAAAAAGTCATGTTTTATTGTTGGCAGATGATTTGGTGGAGCCCGAATCATCAAATACTATAGATGTCTCACTTGACCATAACCGACATTTCCACCCTCTAGTGTGGTAATGGTAATATTAAACAATATTAGAATACGTAGACACCTGTATATATGTATGTATAGCATCCACATCCGATTACATACATCAGTAATTGGTATCAATTTAAAGGTTAACTACTTATCTTGGATTCACAGTCAACTTTACCGGTATATGTTCTTCTAGAGAAAATATATACACAAATTTTGACATTTTTCACACAAAAGTGTTTACCGTTTGAGTCGTAAAATATTGAAAATATCTTTGGAAATTCCTTTCGCATTTCGCGATGTTCAGGCCATAGTTGGGGTCTCTAGAGCGACCAAAACAATATGTACCCTGTTTGGAAAAATTTCATATCAATTATTAATTTATATTTAAGTATAAAAATTAAGAAATGTAGATCTCATTAACAACTTTCTTTATATTAAAATTTAACACTTTTTTCTGGCACTTTTCTAAAATTTTTAGCACTTTTTGGCATTTTTTCAAACAAAATCTAGCATTTTTTCTCAACAAAGTTTTGGCAACACTGATCAGGAGTAACAGCCTGTTTTTGTAAGTCACTCGAATTCTTTCGTTTAGAATTTTACAAAAACAGGCTGTAAGGGTGCAAAAGATCGTCATTTCGTACCAATCAACAAATTGTTAGAGAAATGAAAAACATTCATTTAGGAGTTCAACGGAATTGCTGAGAGTATTATCATTGGATATACCTTCAAGAACAGATCGTAGATGAGCTACATACCCGAAAACCGTAAAAAAGCAATTTATTTCCTGAAAAAACGGAAAGCCATATTGGCTTTCGCAGAAGTTCATATCAGTTGGAGTCCGTGAAATGGTCCTAAAATAAAAGTCTCATGGCTCAGCATTTCAAAAGTACTGGGAAGCATGTAGGCGGATCAATAATGGTATGGGGATGGTTTTCTCTTTGTTCTATATATGAGATTTATGAAGTCATGGATCGGATTGTTATTACAAATTTGTTGCAAAAAGCAATGGTCCCTTTTGTTGAACAAATATACCACTTATTTGGGTATTTTAGATTACCTATTTATTTCTGAAAAAAAACTTTCACTATAACATTAAACACAATGTTATAGTTATAATAGAGGCTACAGGTCATTATTCAGTTTGCTATTTCGACTGCTTTAGTTTTGGCCACCAGTGAATATGTTCTAGGAAGGAATGACATATATCCCGAAGTCTTAAAGTTTCAATTTTATTTTATAAACAAAAAAGTAAAATCACACTTCAATGCATTTCTAACAAAAAATAAAATAATTAACATAATAACAATAATAATAACGGGTTTTCATAATATTTTGTGCACCATTCGTTATAAACGTTCGTTATATGCGCTAGTCAGTGCAAAAAGTCGGCTATTGTGCCCATTCGTTATATCCCGAATTCGATAAACTGAGTATTTGTTATACCGAGCATTGACTCTATTTATACCCTACACAACTATGTTGTCAGGGTATTATAGCTTTGTGCAGCCCCAAAAGTTTGTAACGCCGCGAAATATTGGTCCTAGACCCACCTTTAAGTATACCGATCGTCATATCTCGACTAGCTGAGTCGATCTAGACATGTGTGTCCGTCCGTCCGTCCGTCGGTCCATTATAATTTGTAAACACGATACAGGCCACAGTTATGGACCAATCTTCACGAAATTTTGCATGTAGGATGGGTTCTGGCCAATGAAGACCCATATTGTTTTTGGGAAAGTTCGATTAATATTTAGGGGATGAAATTGACCAAAAACTGAAATTTTTTCGGTTTTTCTGGTCGCTCCAGAAGCCGCAATAATGGCCCAAACATCGTGAAATTTTCCATGGAGAAGGGGATCAGGCCAAAGAATAAGCATGCCTGTTTTCATAAGGATCGGTCAATATTTAGCGGGTCAAATGGACCCTGACTTTTGTGTGAAAAATGACAAAATTTGTATTCTATAGCGTATATATTTACCCCTGAAGGATATATACCCGTGAAGTTTATATTATATCCAAGAGGAGTGGTTGACCTTTAAATTAATACCAATTATATTGTTGTATGTTCTCGGATGTGGGAGTTACACCTAAATATTTACATTTATCTCCGTATTCGTATATTATTTAGTAACCCATTATCACTCTAGAGAGCGGAACTATAGCGCTGATCGCTTTGAAATGTTCCATGAGGTTCCAGTTATGGTCAAGGACAACGCCTATAATTTTCGGTGATGATCAGATAATAATTTGGGAATGAAGTGGACCGAAAACTTAATTTTTTGTGTTATTATCGAGTCGATCTAAAGACAACAAATAAAAGCCGAACATCACAACACAACCCACGGTGAAGGGAATCTGGACAATAGATGTACTGAATACTCGCAATATTCGGAAAATATGTCAGTGTGAAGAGGAGGTGCTGTATACCACTAATCGGGCAAGAGGGTGCAAATATCACGAAGAAAAAGCAGAAAATTTGAGTTCCGTGGTAGTTGTGTAGGGTATCGTATGGTCGGCCCCGTCCGACTATACTGCTCCGCTCACTGGTTTTATTATACAACTAGCAGACCCGCAAAAGTTATTTTGCCTTATCAGAATTGCATGAATATAGGGTTGGTAAAAATTAACGAATTCATGGAAAATATATTTCAGAAACTATTTACCAAAAATGTACGTCAAATTCCCACAATCAAAAAATACGCATAATATTTTCCTCTTGACGGTAAACCTTTATTTACTGATACTCCAGTATATTAAGTAATATTGTTATTGTTAAATATTAAATTATGTCAGTATGTGTGGTATTTCAGTTTATCAATTGATCGAACTTATTCCACCAAACATTTTTCAGGAGAAGGTCAAGTTTTGATCTAACTACTCTTATCTCAAATGATAATTACTATTCCTATTTTGATTACATACGATCCATAAGTCCTATAAAAGTTGTGTTGTGTTCAATTACTCCAATCTCCGACTTTTTATGTTTTTCTCAAAATTTTCTTTAGTAAAACACTTCCCACTGCAATTAAAAACAATCGAAGGAAAATGTGAGTCAAATTAGTGCAGTCGTTCTCAATGGAAACATTTTTCACATCATGAAAAATATATTTGAGGAACAATAAAGGCATATATAAGTTAGACACCTAGAGCATCTAATGTGCAATTGTCTCCATGTAGGATTCAAATTTACATATATAAATTTTTAATAATAGCTAGCTAAATTGTCGACTCCGCTTTACTGGAACGGAAAAAAATCTAGATGTTTGTTTCAGTTAACCGATGTTTTCACATAAACGGAGTTCGGTTAACTAAAATAATTTCAGTTATCCGAACTTCTCATAAGCGAAAAAATGTTCAGTTTTAGGAATTTCAATAATTTATAAGATGATAGAAATTGAAAGTGGTAGCCCATTTGACCTGATAAATATTGAGCAATCACCACGAAAACAGTCATACTTGTTCGTTGGTTAGATTTCTTTCTCCCTGCTAATGTTATGTAAGGTGTGTGTGTGGGGTTTGTTTTACTCCAAAAGCTCTTGCATATGTACTGCATACATCGGCCCACTTTTTTGTATAGCACCATTTGTAATATTTTGATGGTTTTGGTATAATTTTCCAATTGTAATTTGGCATTCGGGATTTTTAGAAAGTGAAAAATATCACTACAGAAATTTCAAGAGTTATCCACATTTTACCGGATTTCGTTGACCCTGTGGATTTCAATTCCTTAGCATATATGTCAAATAAATGTTAATAAAGTAGGTTAACCCGGTAAAAAGTTCTAATGTATATGCCGTTTTACCTCCTAATATTCGGCTATTATGTAAATGCCAAATTTCGGTAATATATGGACTTTCGGTATTGCTCGAAGGGGAAGAAATATATTACTAAGCACTTTGTCCTTGTTGACTGAGCAGGAAAAATAGTATATCACATACTTTTTTATTTGTACAATTAGCCAAGGAATTTAATCGTTTCGCACCAGCTTCCCACTTCACCTAAAAGTTTAATTGTACGAGGGATCCCTTGTTTCCGTAAAGTCTAAAACATGTCATAAATGACTTATTTTTAATCGTGCCCAATCGGTTCATTTATGAAAACTACATAAACTTATTTCGACAACATTTAAATTTTATTTTAAATAGCTTAAATTCGTTCATTATTACAAAATGATTATTACATTTCACCACTCTAATCTATTTGCGTTATTGACGACTCGTCGGGACTTGAACAACGACTACTGTTGCCGTCATTGCGATATTTGATCGAATCGATTATTTCCACATCAATATCACGTTCCCGATTTGAACTTTCTTCCAGGTCATTATCATCCGAATTTGTTATCGAATGATGTCCCTCGGAATCTGCATCACATTCAATGTCAGATTTATTATCCGATTCCACCATGTCACTATTCGCCGAGTTGTTTTGATCATTTTCATTTTGGGCCTGAGCAATGAGATCGCGAGCAGCGAATTGGCTATAAAGACGTGGCAAATGTTGCAACATATAATTGGCACTGCACTTTGCAATATTCGGTTGATTCTCCTTACTCTCTCCAAAGTCATAGTATTTGGCATAGTTTTCGAATTTATTCATCACAGCTCCAGCCCCGGTGGAACTAAGATTAATGGCATCGCTTGTGGCTTGCAGAGAAGCCAATGTTTTTAGGTCATTGGATCTGGGCGTGGGAACAGTAAATGCTGAACCATGTCTGTGTTTATTGGGTAGGTTGAGGGCATTGGGGGCTGGAGGAGAGTTAGCAGTTTCATTGGCTGGCGTTGTATTACTGCCATTATTCTCGGCATTGGCCAATGGTGATACATTTTCTTTTTTGCGATCATAAATGTGCCCGGATACGCGTAAATCAATAAAGAAGTGTAGAGGATCAATGCCATATGGGGGATAAAGTGGAGGGTACCAGACGGGAGGTGGTGGTGGCAATACTAAATCTTGAGGTGGCAATGATGCAGCCGGTGGTGTGCTCTGTAAAGCTGGATCGGCAACACTTGCACCTCCGCCGCTGACCGAAGTATTTGTTGCTGCTTGCTCAGCTTCCCGGTCAGCTAGTTTTTGTGTTGCCAACACTTCCTTGCCCGTTTCAGCCTCTAACTTGCGATATTTATTTGCCAAGTGTTGCAGATATGGTTTGTGTGTGGTCAATTCTAATGGCTTTTCCGTAGCTGTCATATGTGGCAGTGGCTGCTGCTGCAGTTGTTGTTGTTGGTGCTGTGCCTTTTCTAAAATCGTTTCATTTTCCTTAAAGTAGGAACGATGATGAGACCATGTCCGTTTTCGGGGACGTCTTGCCAATGCAGCAGACTGTTGTAATTGCAGATTGCGAACATTTTCCTGGTTGCGTGCAGCGACAAGCGAACGCAGCATGTCGCTGAAAAAGAAATTGTTCGGTCCCATTGGAGCCGAATATAGGTAGGGTGGGGTGGCTGCCATCAGGCGGCTTACAAAATCCTGATTTCTCATTTCATGGATGTTAGATTTGCGTGGTGGTGTCGTGGTGTTGGCATTGCTGTTTGTGTTTGCTGCATCCTTGGGGGATTTAATTTGTTGGTGCTGCTGTTGTTGTTGCTGCTGCTGGTGCTGCTGTAATTGTTGATGCTGCATCTGCTGTTGCCGTTGCTGCTGCTGATGATGTTGTTGTTGCTGCTGTTGTTGTTGTTCGTCAGACATATTTCTTTCGTCTTTGTTATTTGTTTAGTGTCTACAATTAAAAAGAAAGAAAATAAAGAAATGATGAAGACACAAAAATATGTTTATAAATGTTTTAAATGGATTCTAAATGGATTTCTTAAATGTAAATTTGTCTTTTATTTGAAATGTAATGTCGGTGGTGGAGTGAAAGAAGAAAGAAAAAACATCCGAAGGATATTAAACAAAGACTGTATGAATCCATTAGACAAATTTCATCTTCCTTTATTTTATTGTGTTCAAGATGTTTCAGTACTTTTTTACACAATGAAGGTGGTATCAAATTTGAAGACGATGTTCCTTACTTACTGTTCTGACATTGTTTTATTATAAAGATGTAGAACTACTTGAACAACTGTCACAGAGATTTAATGAACAATACACAGCATGGTGTATTGCCAAAACCAACTACATCTCCTTGAGAAGGGTTACAGCTTTTCTGAGATTTGGGGGCTGATACGAAAGTGGTATTTATTTAGTGTAAGTGAATTATACTCCATTATGTGTAGCATACAAAATTTTATGAAAATTTCCTATAGATTGCGTTAAATCGAAATTTAACGCAATGGAAAGGTATGTATATGTTAAAAACGATTAACAAAACATAACAAATAACTCGGCTCCGGCCTACATCCAAACATTTTCCCATGACATTTTTAAGTTCCGAAGTAGGGGAGACTGGGGCACCTTCGGCATTTTTTGTTTAGAGCTCTATATATCAGTACTTATTCAACATATATAAAAACTTTATGGCTGATTATTGTCCTCTGACACTTAATTATAAAAACTAGTACCAAAAGGATATAAAAAATTAGTATTAGTTACAAATTTTTACAGTTTTGTAAGAAAAGTCAAATTCGCCGAATGTGCCCCAACCCGGGGTAGCTTCGGCATTTGATGGGGCACATTCGGCATAGTCATAGCCTGGTAATTATCATCGCTATCATTCTGGTTGAAATTCAGATCCTCTAAAGGCTCTATTTGGTTTTAATACGCGACACAATGTTTGAATTTGAGGGCTATATTTTCTAGCGGCGGACGTTGAAATGTCAGGGTCGCACACACCATCAGCAATAGGTTTTTTCTATCGCATGTTCGTCAATGCAAGTACGTTTGGTCTTATATATATAATTTCGAAACATATTAAAGGATTATTTTTAAAGACAAACTCAAAAACATTTTAAGGAAATAATATTGCACTATCTGTATATGACCGAATGTGCCCACTTTAAAATGCCGAATCTACCCCGAATGTACTTTTTATTATACCCTTTACCACACTGTGGTAACAGGGAAAAGGAAACGAGATAGACCCATGGTTCCTTTTGAGAATATGCATAGAATCACTTTCTGAGTCGATTTATGCATGTCCGTCTGTCCGTTCGTCTATCCATGTTAAATTGTAAACAAAGTGCAGGTCGCATTTATTATCCGAATGAGAAGAAATTTAGCACAGACCATTTATTTGGCCCAGGGACGAACCCTATTGAAATTGGGAAAAATCGGTTTAGATTTAGATATAGCTACCATATATATTTTTGTCCGATTTTTAGCAAATGGTGCACCAAAGAGTCAAATTTAAGCGGATTGGCACGAAATTTCGCACAACGCACTGAATTTAGGATAGACTAAAGTGTGCCAAGTTTCGTGAAAATCGGTTTAGATTGTAGCATACAACCAACATTTAAGAGGCGAATTCTGATATTAAGCTAGCGCACGTACTTGGTCCCGGCCTACTAGCTCGTCGGAGGGGTAGGTTCGATCATATTCTAGCTATTTGTTATCGCTACGATTAAATTATTTTAAAGATACGTGCAATTAAAAGAGGAAGACAGAGAGAAAGTGTATAATCAATCGAATTGGCAAGCTATGTGATGGACACTGAGGTGATAACAGTCCATTATGCCCTCCCAACCTGGTCATAGGTGTATTAACCTGGATAAGAAATTGATCCTATGACCCCTAGTGCAATCGTGACTGGTCTACCTAGGCTATCTAGAAATCAAACAGGAGTTGTATGAAATTAATCCCAAAACATTTTTAAATTTATTTCAAAAAGTGCAAAATTCATGTTATTTCAGTATGAATGACTGTACTACGGTAATCATATATTAACATAGAAATGTTTTCAATCTTATCCTATATTATACTATTTTAAGGTGTTGAGGCATTGGGCTAACAATAAAAAAATAATTCTCAACAAAATAATCCAAAAAAAATTAATTATTAAAAATATATTACAATACTGGTTTTTCTTGGTACCCACGCTAATATTTTTAAACGCTTAACAATGAGATATTATTGTCACCGAAGCAAAAAGACAATATGAAGATACAATAAAAGAGAGTACTTACAATTTGCATGTCAACTCAGAGTAGCGTCACCGTTGAAAGATCTTTCGTAGTGGTTGCTGCTGTTGATATTAAGAGAGAATTGTAACTGATATTGCTCTTTGTTTCGGTTTCTTTGTTACACACTTCATCTGAAAGGCGACAATTATTACTGAATGTAGGTATGTAAAGATCTCTGCCAACAGTCAGCTACAAACATAACATATTGATACGCACAAACATCAGTATTGTAGATATGTATGTCATCCCAATATGACTTATATGTAGGTTTGTGCGTTGTATTACTTATGTTCGGAGCTAATTGTTGAAGTCAGTGATTCGAGAACAATGTGATAACAAGAAAATAATTTAACACTGAAACTTAAAACTATGGTTGATAATTTGCATATTAATTTTACTAATATTAGTATGAGGCAATGAAGAATAACATTACGGTGTAGCAACTCCCCATAATAGTTGCGATTAAATAAAATGTTCAAGCAAATTCGTTAGAAACTAAAGTTATATAATTTTAAATAGAAAAAATAATTCGTACCCATAATAACAAATTGTAACAATTAATAATACCTTGAGTAGCACCGATTTGAAATATTAAAATTTAAATTTATACTTATGAATAAGGCTGGCTGACTGTGGACGTCCGAACAAACAGTGCTGAGTTGGTGCATCGATTTTGGAATATTCGTAGTAATTCCTTAATGTATTTCAGAATGTTGGTTAGGTTTTGGATTATCTCACTTTTTGATAATACTAGTCATCACTAACATCGCAAATCATCGGTTTTTGATACCATTGAGAATATCCAGTTTTCGCTGATATTATATAAAAATTTGGAAGCCACTCCGGGAAATCGAACAGTATTAAAATTGTTGGACTTATATTGCTGTATTACTTGAATCAACGGCGCACATTTCTAATAATTCAATTGTCTTCAAAAAATCACTTTTTCCTCCTTTAATGCTCTGCGATTACACGTGATTTTATCACATAACTATAGTTCAACAGAAGTGTACGTGTGACTGACTACTCTCATTAACATTGCATATGCTGCTGGGTTTTACGCTGCACCAAGCAAGTGAAAAAAACCCGTATTTTTGTGGCTGGCAAACGCAATGACAACAACAATGATTATAGGCTGGGTGCCAATCCTAATGAGAGTAGAAGAATTAACAATATATTTTTGCATTCCCTTTGTGCACAATCTAACTGAGAAACTTACCGCATAGCGAGATGGCACCATGAACCATAATTATTTTCTTGCTAAGATGGCTGTGAATAATTATGATTGAATTATAACAACCAATAACGATCATTAATTATATTAATTCCCAATCAGCTCTAATTTAGGGGAATTTTTAGCAAGAAATCCGTTCAGATTAATAAAAATTTTACTTGGTAAAAAAAACTGGTAGAAATTGACTTTTTAACAACTTTCCCAAAAACAAGTCTTTACAGCGATGAATTGATCGGCAAAATGGCAGAGTACCATCCGTTTTGGGGCCACGAAACCTATCCAAGGCTGGCCACAAGCTACGAATTTCCAGGCAATGGATTAACAAGGCAAGAACGTAATCCTAAAGATGGTACTAACTTTACATTTTAATCGAGTCAAGTAGACGAATATGAGGTGTAGATGGCGTTGCCAAATTGTTTCCAAAGATCTCGAATGAATGTTTCCGGAAGAAAAACACCAAGCAAGTGCAACTCTTACACACCCCCCCGCCAAAATCAGACACCGGGTAGTGCAACCTTCCCGATGGATGATAGCACTTGCCAAACACAGTCCATCCTGTTAAAGATACATAATAATCCTATTGCCGGATGTCCTTGGCATGGTATGTACCGACACAATTACCTTGGAGGTCTTCCAACTCGTAATAAGAGTTTCCCAATTTCTTCTTAACACGCGATTTTAGGAAAGTGGGAGCAAGTTTAGCATTGTAACCTTGCTCGAAACAACTTTGCTTAAAATTTCTACGGTAGACTTCCTGTCCCTCCTTAAATGAAACTTCTCTCGATCGAAGGTTATATGTTCTCTCATTTCGCAAGAACTGTTTATTAATCATTTCCGAAGCTCTCTTAGCCATAATATCCCTCGAATCATTACGGTCAAAATAAACAGAACGATCTTCAAGCATTTCCAGATGACGAAGAAGGGGGTAGATTGCTCCATTGGTCACCATGTTCTGCCCAAAAACTAAATAATAGGGCGATGTACCTATTGCCGAATGTTTGGAGGAGCGAAGAGAGCAACATATACTAGAGAGCAGTTCGTCCCAATTCTTTTGATCGGGTTTAATGTAAGATTTTATGCCAGCCAACACAGACCGGTTAACCCTTTCTGAGGCATTGGCTTGAGGGGAGTGTACAGCAGTGTATATATGGTTAACTCCATATCTTTTCAATAGCCCATTAAATGCTGTAGATTTGAATTGGGAGCCATTATCTGAGATAATGGACTCCGGGACACCAAAGGTATGGAATAGGTCACCTTCAAGGTAATCCACAACTACTTCAGCTGTAAATTTCTTAACCGGTTTCAAAAACGGGAATTTCGAAAAATGGTCTAAAACTATAAATATCCCGATATGACCTGACCTTGTTCGTGGATACGG